ATAACAAATATATGGTATTAGGTGTATTTCAGTGGCGGTAGAGCTCCTTGTGAAAGAGTTCGTCCAGGGAATTACTGCCACCTTACCCTTACCCTTTTGTAATGTTAGCATTACTGCCTTCCGGTTTTGAAACATAAGGACGCTGAAGAAATTACAGGCACATGGGACTTGTCAACTTACGTCTCAGGGTGACGGGCGCAGTGGCAGTGCCCCTCCGATCTTTGTAATTTAAAGCTATGACTGGCACTGCAACTGTTATGGACAGACGTGTACCTTACCAAAAATATTTTTACTTTATTTATAGAGTTATATAAAGATATTTTTCAATACAAATGCTCCAAAAGTTGCACTTTAACAGCGGAGAAGCGTGTGTTGGAGTTTTAATAAGAATAAATTAATAAGAAGAATATCCTCGCCCACTTTTTGAGTGAAGCGCATATTGAAATATATTGAAATGGAAATTATTGTGTTTATAAAAATCTGTTTTCTTACACTGAAAAACATTGAGTTACACGTGCTTTAAGGTTATTGCTAACACGTGACGCTTGCGGCTCGAGCTTAAAGTTTTAAATTAGTTTGCAACAGGCTTCTTTCTGCCCCAGGAGAACAATCTCCTAATATGCTGACTGTACCCTAAGAATATGTAAATGAGTTTCTAACTTTAGAGTTGTTTTAAATAGGTACACATGTGTTTTGATTTTAGAATTATGGAATAATAAATTCACGTAAATGTATTTTCTACATATTTTTTCCAATATTACCTGTTTCGAAGCCATCGTCCAGAGGAGAAGCTCAAAAAAAGTAGTAACAAGTGGCAACGGACCGTTACAACGTTGTTCAATTCATTTTAGGAGAAATCGTTTTTTGAAATTTAACATTATTAAAAATTAATACAAATATTATCTGCAACAAATACATCCTATTTTTAAATAATAATAAATTATAAAAAATTAAAACCATGATTTACCATACACAAATTGGTTAAATCTATGGCAGCCTACGTTGCATTTTCGATCGGATGTTGGAAACGCAGGAAAGAGGAGGCGCGGTAAAACATCGAAACCGGCGCCGCCGGGCGGCGTCCCGTGCTTTCAGACAGCGTCAAAACGTCTTCGGATCCAGTCCACGTTCGGCTTGGCCACGCTCACGATAAAAAAGGCCGTTACGTATTTCAAAAGTGCAACATTTTATTGCAAATCCTTATCACTTGTTTCCCGTTCACATTTAACGTACTAAATAATTGTGAAAGTGAAAATTCCCGCTTTAGGGTAAGTTGAAGGACACACAAAACACTTGTAACGCTTATATTTGCTAATTGTATGTTTTGTATTGTACATTATACCAAATTGCACTTTGTCATTGTTGCTGCTCTTTCTACGATTATATTTTAGTTATGTACAACGTAAATTTGAACCATAGCACCATCCGCTTTAAAAAAATGTAAAGATTGCATCATCAACATTTTAAATTGTAACGATCGTATTTAATTGCATTTTTTCACCAGACGTTGTTTTCTTAGGCTTATTTAGTTTTGGTTGATCTTTGCAGGAGCTACCTTGGGGTTACACTGAACTACCTTCGGGTTCCACTGAGCTATCTTCGAGATAATAGGTACGAGTCACCTTTGGGTTGTACTTCACTTGTTGCACTTCATATTTATTCAAACAACCCATATGATATTGTCAATACTTCAGAAATTTTCAGAAAAAATTCAGGTGTTCATCTCACAAAAATTATTTTATCGCAACGATATGAATAATAATGGGATGTTCACGGGACAAACATGCAAATAAATATTTTATACCTTTACCACCTTTCGGGTAATTTTAAATTTTTCCTTTCGTAAAACTGCCTTAACTAATATAATACTTAAATGTTTTATAAAAAAAAATTACATAAAAAATTGTGGAATTGCGTCTATTTGCCAAGTTTTCTAAAAATTTTTTTGAAATCGGTAAACAGAAAGTTGGTGAAGTCCAATAAACAGGACTCATCCCCTAATTTTTCACCTTTAGAGGTGGAACATATTCTTCAAATTTGAAATGGTATAACTGCTGAGGTTACTCCCTTTGTAACAAAAAAAAAAATCAGAGAAATCGGTTCATAAATATTACATACACACACACACAAAAATTCTATAATACAGTCGAATTGAGAAACTCCTCATTTTTTTTAATCGACTTACGATTAAAACTACAGCTGCAAGTGTCATTTGATGGTCTCTTCGATATCAAAATTCGTGTCGATTTATAGAATCTTGTAAAAACCGAAACAATTGAAACTCTGAAGGGACTATGTTCGCTGAAGTAACACATTCCAACTTAGCACCAACATAGTTTGTTATTATCATAACCGCGGATAACATAAAAAAAAACAATGGAAGTGCCTTAAGCCGATTTTTGCCTTTGTGCCTTTCGATTACTACCCAGTACCCTGTCGCCAAAATGTACACAAACAAATGATGAACACTATGAAATTTTGTTAATGATTGGTCGAAGCTTCTAATTTAAAAAAATGTAACAAATTCTAAATTGTTAATATAATTTAATCTTTACCCAGTTGCTGTATCGATGAAAGTTGAATACCTTTATTGCAAGTTACGACTTTTTGGATGTATATTGAAAATGTATTCAATGTGCTGCCATCTTGCGGTTAGTAGCTGGACTACGACGAACGATTAACATCTAAATAAATAGAAAGTAGTATCTTCTCTACAACAGATATCTTCTTTTAAATACAACTTTGTTTCGATCAATTAATTTAAAATTAACAAAACACTGATGAAGCAGTTTTTTGTCAAGCTTGGAAAATTAGAGATGTTTACTTAGTTCTCCAATTGATAAAAATCGACCATTTTGCACAGGGATAATGTTTACTTTCGTTTCTTTCAGTACAAGAAATTACTTCGATACACAGAAAATTTAAAATAAAATAAGACTTACCGATGATGTTAAATATCACCACGGGTAACATTTTTGGAGCGGCTATTATTTTTGCTCTCCAAAATTCAAATAGCACCAGAAGGCTATTTTCTCCTATTTTAAAGAATACGTGCACAAGCTTATCGTACAAAACAAAAATGGCGTACTGAGCTCAAGTAGGCCCAACTACGCCTAAAGTTGGCACGCGATTTACGCTAACTAACCACTTCTATTGTATTTATTCTTCAATGATCAACACGATGTACCATACGTTTATGATTAAAAATTTCCCGTAAGTTCTTAATTTTTTTAATATTTTTATTTATTTATTTATTTATTTATTTCAGGCAACTAGGACCCATAGATACATACCTTACAAACTAACATATATATAACATAACAATAATATAATAAAACAATAACAGAATATGAAAAAAATACCTTACGGACTAATCACAAATACAATATAACATGACAATATACATTAATACACGCACTAAAATATTATTTTTAAAAACCCATAGACAATAATAACATTAACCAAAAAAAATATTTTGTTCTTTAAAGTTGACTAGAGGCATAAACAGCAGGGACTTTTAGGTCAACCCATTATAATCAGCTTTTTGGATTTTGAGAATGAAAATAACAATTAACAGTAGGTATAAGTTGAATATTCTATATCAACGATATACGGCCAACTGCTGAACATGGACTCTATTAAGGATAGAAATTATCATAGATAACATGTTTTAAAAGAAAAAGTAATTTTTTGTGCAATGTTAGCTATTGCCAAAAATCACACGGAGTTTTTCGCCAACCAAATCAATACATGTAATTAACACACGCACGCACTCACGCACTCACGCACGCACGCACGCACACACGCACGCACGCACGCAAACACACACACACGCATACACGCACACACACACACACACACACACACACACATACACACACCCCACTCAATCACACTCACGCACGTGCTCACACGCACGCACCTCATACACAAAACACAACGAATGTACATACTAACTTGTTAAATAATGATTTTGAGTTAACGGTTAGGGAATGCCCTAACCACATTTGTGCATAATAATAAACTTAAGGGTACTGAATTTGCTAAATCAAGATATGGAAACGGGCCTGAGATACGTAAGACCTCCTGTCTCTTACTAACATTAATATTTAAGCTCAGTTCTTTTAGATTTATTAATATATAGAAATAAACAAATATAATATTATTATTATTAGCCATTCATAGATAGCTTAAGATATGTAGTGGCAAAGTGCAAATACGTTATCCTAAAATATTCGTGTAATTCTAGTTACAGCAGTTATTAATATACTGTTATTAATATATTTTATTAATATATATTGGGAGAAATAAACAAATATAATATTATTATTAGTCATTCAAGATGTGAACGTGAAAATACGTTATCATGAAATATTTGCCTAATTCTAGTTACAACAGTTAGACAGAAAAGAGATAGCATGAAGAGCGACTGTTAAACATGTCAGTTATTTCAGTTCGTAAAAGCGTATGAGAATACTTTCATGCTAAGTTGAAGTTAAAAGCGTTGTCGTAATTACACGTAATTGTATTTGCCTGACTGAAAACCCAACAATTTAAAGTCTAGAAATATACATACATGTGAGCATTCTCAAGTATATCTTTATTTAACATTGTTAACTTCATGCGCTTAATAAATGTATGCATAAATGTTCAGTATTTTAGTTTTTGTGCCACAACAAGTGACGTGAGCTACTGGTTCATGAAACACCTAATGAAGGGTAACCTACTGATGTCATTTAAATGTAGGCTCATGGATATGTGCATACTACTTTCTCTCACCTGCGGTGCTCAGACTAGGTCTTTATCAGAACCCGCCCTAGGGGGGCCAAGATCACCCTGTTCGGGGACCCTGACTCAGTCAAGGCTCAGATGAACTACTTGGGCCCTGTACTGGATGAGAGGTGGACGTTCAAGGTGCATTTCTCCCAACTTGCCCCAAAGCTAATGAGTACGGACCGGTTTCAGTCTGCAGGCGCCTTTACTCTGGAACAATCCCGAGTATGGCAATCTACGGCTCACCCATCTCGGTAGAAGCACTCACCGCTCAACTCAAACCCTTCCTGCGGAGGCCACAGAGGGTTATAGCGGTGAGAGAGATTCAGATTAGATTATATTGGTGCAGGTGCTCACCGGACATGGAGGCTTTGGTGAGAGACCTACATCGCGTGGCCGATCGAGAAGCGACTCCTGTCTGCCACGAATGCGGCGCACCCGTCGACACGGCGCGGCACATCCTGGCAGAATGTGCGGTTTGGGGCCCTCAGCGGTACTCCATTACTGCTATAGTAGGAAAAGATCTCTCGCTGCCATCAATCGTGGGCGTAATGTTCGGCAGCGAGAGGTGCTGGAAGGCTATGGTCTCCTTTTGCGAGAGCGTAGTTCGCAGAAGGAGACTGCGGAGCGCTTCAGAGAGGATGATCCCTCTCTGATCCGCTTCGTAGACGTAGGCCAGGGAGACGAAGGAGGGTAGTACACCCGCCTTTTTCCCCTGCTGTATATTGGACCCCTTCTACGAAGCCTTAGGGTGCCCCGAGCACCCTCCAAAGGATTGGGCCCGCTCCATGCGGGCCATCTGCCGGGACGTCCCAGTGGTGGCACAAGCGGATCCTGGGGCGTCTCTATATGGCGGTGGAGTTAACCGCTGGGTTTTAGTGGGTATACGCAGCATGACTACCGCCCAGCAGTCCCACATAACTGCTCGATGCTACCCCGAGCCGAACGTTATGCGTAAAGCATTTCCCAGCGGTAAAAAAAGTCTTTATCGGAAGCCCAGAAGTTCGAATTCGGGCTTTGCCAGCAAGCTTTGGAGCGCAGTATATTAGATGTAAAACTAACTTTTCACTCACAAACCCAAATTGTCGATGTAGCTCGGAAGGCATTGCAAGTGCTGAAAATTTCGTAGCTATCTTGTCATTTGTGTAACTGTATTAACAACATGTATGACTATACTAACAAATCACAATAAATACTGAAAGAATACCAAAGGCATTTTCCTTCACGCAGTTTCATCTTACAATGATGTTATTAATATAGTCCTGCGAGGTTCTTAGTATTTTACAAGTAACCCTGTATATGTACGATTGGATCATAGTTTCAGCGGGCGCTGGAGAGTCTTTGGGGGACGGTAGGGGCCTCGGAAGCAACTGAGGGGCATGGTGCTGTCCAGTGGGTGTTACCGCATTTGAATTATCTGTATAAACTACGCTAAATGAATAATTGTCTTTCCTTGTGATTTTTTAAGTTAATATAAAAATACTTGTTTTCAATTATTGAACGGTTTAGTGGACGGTGAACCGAAAAGTTTGGGAACCAATGGATTAGATTAAAATTACATCAGGTGTCAATTTCTACAAAAAGCTCTCTCCGAAGGAAACATCTATTACCCTGGTCTAGCTTGTCACACCCATTATAATAAAGGTGGTGACCGTAATATAATACGTGGGACGACCCTCAAGCAATACTTGAAAGAGATCGAGCACAATATGTGATCAACTTTTTGACGTAGCGCAATCTATCGTTAATTTCCCCCGAGGTTACCTACCTGCCGGCACACTAAAGAAACTAGTTCACTGTTATTCACATTGTACTTCAAGTTATAAAGTGGCTGAAACATTATTATGGCTTCGGGGTTCCCTTTAAAATAATTTTAATTGAGTATTTTTGGAGCGTTTTTTAGTATATATTATCATCATTTATTTCGTACCTTGGTAGCCGCGATAGCATGGTTTAACCTACCGCCTCTCGAGTAAGGGTCGTGGGTTCGAACCCTGGCGAGCACCTCTGAGTTTTCGGAATTTACCGATGGCCTAACGCACACTTGTATTAATTATACTTTTGGGAATGTTGCAGTAGAGCAATTTCAAAGTTTGACTTCAGATTCCAGAAACAACCAGCTATGTATGACTGATTTATAGCATTTATAAAATAGTGTCACTATCATTAGGTAGTAATTTACTTTATAACTCAATGGCTCTTACACTAAGCTTGCAGAATTATCGGTGAATTAAAATGAAACCCCATGCACTTAGCACATTTCAGTAGATATGAGTAGCGCGTAATACTTTAGGTAATTATCAATCAAACAGTATGCAATTATTCCATTTGCGATCGTAACACTCAAGTAATAAAATCACTTAACGGGATTGTGCACAAATTTTGACCAATATTCAACTACATGACTTTTCTGGATATAAGATCAGTTAATTTAAAAACGTATGTAGTAAGTAATTCCCTAGAAAAATAATAACACTTCAATTATTACAGTCTTGTTTTGTCTCAGTTAGTTTATTTGGCGTGAAGTTTTTACAACAAAGAGAGAATATATAGTTCTGATGAATGGACGCAGGGTGACATTTAAATAAATTTGGCACCGATAAATCAAAAAATGAGAAATTATGCACTAAGTGCAAGTGTGCGCTAAACCATCGTTATATGCGAAAGTTATTTAAAATTTACCATAAGCAAAAACAACAATGTGTGAAGATCCCAATCCGCATTAGACCCGCGTGGGAACTACAGCTCTAGCCATCTTATTGTAAGAAGGGGACCTGTGCCCAGCAGTAGGACTATACAGGCTAAAACAAATTCATTTCATCACTCTTCTATATCATATTTGAAAAATACATTATTTTGTGCAAGAAATAATCTCCTTTATAAAGATTAGGTCGCCTGCTATAAAATATATTTCTATCGTCAACCCCTTGTACGTCCGGTTCTGAATACGGATCTCCTCTAAGGAGAGGGATTAGGCTATAATACGCCACGGTCACTAAATGCGGGTTTGGGACTTCACACGTTTTCCAAGGGATGTGAACCTTAATCGATGTCCAAGTGTGTAAAGGTATTGTCACTAATCTATATTAAATAAAATATTCATGAATGTACGTAAATGAGACATATTAAAGTTATTGGTATACGCCGTCACAGGATTACAAATTGTTGAGTCAATTGTGAAACAACTATTTTCCCCTAGTATCGAGTATATAACCACATATAGCAGGCAAATCGGCCTTATATCACTTTCAAATATCAACTCTCGTTTGCGCTGAAATCACAAAAATTTGAAAGCTGAAATAATACAGCTCCAACAACAGACCTGTGTGTACGTCTTCTGTGTGTATATTCCAAAAATATTCTATATTTATTGTAATAAAGATAATAATCTCTAACAATGGGCAGCTCTTCCATTCGGTGGTGTAGAAAAAACAGCAAGACATCTAATTAACTATTTACAGGCATAACTTCGGCCGTTGGCCGAACGGTTACCATGCCGGACTACCATGCAGAGGTCCCAGGTTCGATTCCCGGGCCGGGAGAAGTGTTTGTATGGTCTTCATTTATTTCTCTCGAGAGTTTGGGTGTAATTTGTGGTTGTCTATGTGTGTCCATGGCACCCGCGACGCAGGGTTTCCCTAGTGCGGAGCTATGTCGAGTGTGTTTGCGTTATATATTTCCATTTATAATTACAAAACAAACGGAATCACATTTCATCGGTAATCAAATATGAAATATGTAAATTTTCAATTTTAGTCCATTATAGCAAAGCTCTAGTTAAACTGGTCGATTTGAAGTGAAACAATTTATGACACCTGTCAATTGTTTCGAATTCGGGCTGGCCAATCGAAGCGCAGTTGTCACCGTAATGATTTGGCGGAATAGTTTTCAAACAAATTAAATGACATTTTCGTCTCTATTTCTGGTTATATACTCGATGTCCCCTAGGCTAAACGTAAAATATCAAAAAGTAACCATATATAATAAAGAAATTACAACCAAACAATTTCAGTAACTGTTTGTTGTATTGTCATATGTATATTTAATATTTTACCGGTTGCGCATTATGGATTATGACATTTTTCAAGAATCAATGAAAATTTTTAGTACGCGAGTATTGACTATAGCTGACTCTGTATTCACGTATGCGATATTTCGCGGGACACTGCATAGCGAGTTTGAAACTGGAAGGGTTTATATAGTAAAAGCTTCAATTACTCAATCGATGAAATTGCGTACCCTTGGTAAATTGCACGAAATAAGTCTGATTCACAATATCGAAAGCGCAACATCGATGGTCTTTGTATTGAAAACGTTACACTGATTGGTCATTACAGTGAAAGTTTGTTAAATCATCAGCACATCACATCGCCAGGACACCATATCAAAATAATGGCAGTGTTGTCGTTTAATATCTATCAAACAATATCAGTAACTGTTTGTTGCATTGTCATAATATTTTACCGGTTGCGCATTTGTCAGCATGGATTATGAATTTTTTCAAGAATCAATGAAAATTTTTAGTACGACGTACGTCGGGTAAAGATATTTACAGCTGTTATCTCGTAGCTTCCCTGTCAGTGTATGTATGTTTTTTAGAGAATCATTTTACTGAAATAAAGAACAACGGTACTTCACCAACCTTGCATATTAATTTTGAAAGTTGCAAATAGGTCTTCGGAGCTTAAGATCCAAAGTTTGTTGGCTGAGTGAATAAATTATACAGAAATCGCAAAACTGGGATGTTTCACTAAACACACGGGCCAAGCAATACATAATTCGGGATAAATCGTGTTAGTAAGTTTACATTTCATCAGAGGATATTATTGTAATAATAAGGGATTCACATCATACACAACACGGGTGTGTCTTAGAGGGTTCTATTCCAGCATGTTTCTTTAGGATCTCATATCAAACACTCAGAATAATATTATGTTAGGACTACTCATGCATAGTAAATGCAGTGTCCTTTAGACTTACTTTACTTAGTGTTTGGGTTTTACGTAAACTACGCGAAAGGTGCCTTACCGTTATGATAAATATATTTCATATTTTACATAAGTATTATATTTCTATGCTAATAAGACGAGACAACAGCACATCATTTGACTATTTTGTTGAAAACGAAGAAATGACGAAGAAATGTGATTATAATAATGCTTTTATAGTATAGCATAAGAACAGGATTTGGAGGAAAAACGAAAATAACTATCTCACAATCTGTGATCATGGAGCGTGAAATCGCCTTAATATATCGGGAGAACAAACAAAAAATCAGGTAGTATCAAATAAATACAATCAATAAAATATGATAATAAAATATACAACAAATAAGAAAAATTACTTCCAAAATGATTAATTTCGTTGGTTTGTATGCAAATGCAATAATCTTTTTTAAGTTTTTTGTTTTTCTTTTTACTCAAAAATTCAAGTTTTGATGCGATAGGCCGCGACTGTTGTTGTTGCAAAACAAATGAATAACGCACTCATAGCCCCGCACTAGGGGGAACCCTGTATCATAGGCGCCATGGATACACACATAGACAACTATAATTTGTTTATAAATATAATTTGTTATATCCAAACTCACGAGAGAAATAATATGGATGGAGTCTCTTAGCCTACGGAGAGATGTTGGCTCTCTGTGTGTGTTCTA